AAACATCTACACTGAGCAAGGAATACAAACGTTCATGGAAAGTCGTCTTCATTCCACAAAGAACGATATTTTGATATTCCACTGTGAATTTTCGTCACACAGAGGACCTAAGCTGTAAGTATTAACTGACTTTAAATTGAGAAGCCTTGAGTTGATATCTTTACAAAGAGAAACAGAGAGCAACAGGCATGTATGTCTTCATTAACAAAATTATCTTTTATTTTACAGAATGAGGTTTCTTCGAAGTATGGATCGCAAACAAAATAGCCACAGATATCCAGAGCTTAACTTTCCCGAAATTTATCTTTTAGACGGAGGATACAAAGCATTTTATCAACACAACAAGGTATGTCTCGTTGTCAAACAGCGTTTTTACCAAAAATATTTATTATCATTTTCCCACAAAAGTAGCAATCGGTCAAGAATGTTTGAAAAACGTCGTGTTTAATTTTCTTTTCTTTTCTTATCCAGGTTCAATGTAATCCTCAAGCTTACCTACCAATGTTACACGAAGATCACTCAAAAGACTTACGCCATTTTCGTGTCCGATCAAAGTCGTGGACAGCCGGAGAAAAGCGAACAAGATCTCGACGAGTCATTCGGTCGCCCTATTAAAAAAGTGCTTGGTTTTGTGAAAACGATTAGGTGTTGTTACACAATTTACTGATAAGCAGATCTGTGATATTTTGACTGTTAATTCTCTTGTTATTTATTTTATACTATGTGTTATTTCAATTGTTCATATATATTATTATTGCTCGAATTACTGTTAATATCTCTACAATTGTTATTTTTATGTTTGGAAAGAAATAAAAGTCTTTTTCAATGAAAAGTTTTGCTCAGTTTATGTCAGAAAAATGCTAATTGTACAAGTTTTGGACAATATAACCAAAGTGACTGCAATGTGGCTGTCTAATATCAAATTTCGTCAAATGGACGAGAATAGTTCAGATTTAATTTTGGATCAACTTTGGCCGAGATGAAACTGCAACTCACTCACCAATCATTTCAAAATGCAATCAAACAAATCAATCAGACTGGGCGTGAAGGGATTGATCGAATTATAACCGATATGAACAATCAAGACGGTCTTTATGTGCCAATCACAACGCAATGGCTTCTTCGGCTTATATAAGGCCAGACGCAAGTCAGATATCAGTAAAGCTTTCAACTCTATACCCTTCAACATATCTTGCAATGGTTCTTTCAAGCACACACGAATTTAAATCACATGAACCGGAATCTCCTAATTTCGTAAGTGTTTAAACCGTTTCTCTGTATGTAATCTTTCGAACTCCATGGCGACATCTGCAGATGACTTGTCATCAGAAGGACCGTGTCAAGAGGACTCTTCCGTGTTTCTCTTCCAAGCGTAATCGCCAGCATAAACATGTCTGATATTCATAGGTCATCCCACCTACAATAAAACACGATCTTTTTTTTTATAGTACTTACCATCAACTAAACTGAGCTTCTTCGATGATAACGAAGACTCCAGTGACAGTGGATTCGGCAGCTCTCCGGAAACATCATCGTACAGGAAGAAATGTTTTACAACCACAAAATCCAGAAAACGACTGTTTTCCTGCAAGCGGAAAGCAGTTGCCGATGACGAAGATTTCGCCACATCTCCAAAGAAAAGAATGTCAGTAGATAATCAAGACTTTGTCATGAAAGCTCTGGAACGAATGGAAGCATGTGCCCTCGGTTTGATCGGTGACGCCAGCTCTACACACAGCTTGCCAACTATGTCTGGGAAGCATACTGATCTACCAACTATAGATCCGTCAACAATGTCCAGTCTTTTCGACAGTTCTTCAAATTTTACCATTATTGATTGTCGTTATCCATACGAATATCAAGGCGGTCACATTCAAGGTGCTATAAACACCTACACTGAGCAAAGAATCCAAACGTTCATGGAAAGCCGTCTTCATTCCACAAAGAACGATATTTTGATATTCCACAGTGAATTTTCGTTACACAGAGGACCTAATCTGTAAGTATTAACTGACTTTAAATTGAGAAGCCTTGAGTTGATATCTTTACAAAGAGATACAGGGGAATATCTTTACAAAGAGAAACAGAGAGCAACAGGCATTGTATGTCTTCATTAACAAAATTATCTTTTATTTTACAGAATGAGGTTTCTTCGAAGTATGGATCGCAAACAAAATAGCCACAGATATCCAGAGCTTAACTTTCCCGAAATTTATCTTTTAGACGGAGGATACAAAGCATTTTATCAACACAACAAGGTATGTCTCGTTGTCAAACAGCGTTTTTACCAAAAATATTTATTATCATTTTCCCACAAAAGTAGCAATCAGTCAAGATAATTTCAAGCACTCTACAATTCTTTACAGTTTCCTTTGCTTTTTATTTTGATCCCTATCGATTTTCGTGGCGATATGATAATTTTCAACGAAATATCGTGTCTAACTTAAAGTTTTCACTCTAATAGCTATATTCTTTATGAATTCTTTTAATTTTTATATGCCCACATGAGGTATGGACTTAAATTGTCTTCACCCTGTCTGTCAGTCTGTCCATCCACAATTGACTCGAGAACACTACAGACTACATGTACTACCTGAGAACACTACAGACTACATGTACATTTCTTGACGTATTCTTTTGATTTGTGTTTGTTTGTAAATATATAATCATGAGATTGATATTTGGGTATAGAATTGATTTAATGCAGTGTGTTCAGTATTCACAATTCTTAATCTTTGAAAAACATATATATTTTTTTACACAATCTACTGTCTATTTGCAAGAATCAAGACATGCGTCAAAAACTAGCCATGATGCGAAATACAATAAAGTTTGCTTAAAATTCTCAATAGACTAAATGTGAATGGACAACAAACATTATTTGTACTTGCAATTAAAGCTGCGGGTGAGCGTATGTCAGCTTGCTTCGCAAGTCAATTTTTTAGGATTTGATTTTAAATATCTATTTATGAATATGAAATATTAATTTATTGATAAATATGCATTTTCTTTGAATTTCTATTTTCTGTTTTTTTTAAAAAAAGATTTGGCTTTATTTCGTGAACTTTCCTGACCACCACATTTAAAACAAAGACTTATTTTCGTGGTTTTCTGGGACTGTTGTAATAGCAAAAGATGACAAAAGAAGCAATATTATACTGCGATTAGGGAAGGATTTTTCTTTGGTTAAATGCAAGAGAAAAACAGAAGATTTTTTTGGGGAAAACGATTTTAAAAATATGCTGCTTTGGAATAAACATTTTCAAAGATTTGACTTGATTTTGTGAATTTTACCTGACCCCCCGCATTTAAATCATACGTGCATGGTTTCAAAGTCGCCTGAAGTTACTATTTTTGCATAATTTCGTGAGCAGTTTGAGAAGGTTCCACACAGTTCAGTGGAGATCTTGACTACCTTTGCGATGCCCGAGCTCGGAGAGTTGAGGCATTGGATCTATCTTCTACTTTTCTAGGCTTGTAGAGGGACGATTACAAGGAATTCGCCGATCTACGTGTCTTGTAACTAAGCAATGATGGCGAAGGCCATTGTAATCAGTTCCACAAAGTCCGGTGGCTCGCTAAACTGTTATACGCCATCAAGGTAGTTTTTGCTTGCCTCGAGGCACAATCTGCAACGAAAGCCAATTGACGAAACTGAGACAATTTGTGAATTTCATCACTGTCATATATAGCTCCTGGTGGTATCGATGCCAGTTTGCCACCTCACAATGATCTCAACATATTGTACACAAATCGTGTCTGAAATATAAAGCGTGAACAGACAGGTAGCAGATAGATTGAGTGGACTGAGGAGGTACCTCTGGCGCTATTCAGTGAAAAAGTTAGCTCAGATCAACGCCAGGCAATTGGATGTGTCATTATGAGGACGGGAGAGATAATATAGAGCTGATAAATCGTTCAGGAACGTGGTTTGGGAAGCCCAATTTTCCTGATGTCACGGAGGATACAACATAGCTGATCACATCACATGGGATTCCTGTTTTTTTTACGGCTTCATGATTCAAACGCGGACTTTCTTTAATCTCAGGTAGCTAACTGGGAATGATCAGAATCGCAAATAGCTAATCAAATTAATCAACGTGATAAACGTTGCTGCAGAGAGCGCGGTGAAGACCATTACCAGAACATAGTTCATGTCACAGAGGACAATAAGAAGAAAATACCCAACCTCGGAAAAATATTTAACTTTGAATGAACTGCCTACTGCAGTTTTAAATATGTCAAATTTTTGCTATTTTTCGAGTTGCTCGTGAACCCAGTAGATGTTCTTCAATTCAATTGATATTTTGCATGATGTATTTATTCTTTAGTGAGAACGGTTTTGTATAATCGAAAATTGGATGTTTCCCAAAATTTAAAAATCATGGCGCGTCTGATGCACCCTAATCTACACCCCTTTTTATACGCCCACATGACACAATTGGTGTTAGTGTTCGTAATCATCCATGGATGAACCCTATTCAAAATCGAAAACTATTTAGTAGGAGTTATTGCCCTTGTTCTTGAAAACGCGTTCAATTTTTAGCTCGTAAACACTCTAGAAGGGACAATTCTTGGCGGATTTTGACGAAACTTGGTGTGAGTGTTTATAATCACCCAAGGATGAACCCTATTGAAAATAAAAAGAATCGAAAAATTATTTAGTATGAGTTATTGCCCTTGTTCTTGAAAACACTTTCAATTTTTAGCTCGTAAACACACCTAGGAGGTGCAATTCTTGACGGATTTTGATGAAACTTGGTGTGAGTGTTTGTTATCACCCAAGGATGAACCCTATTTAAAATCAGAAAGATCGAAAAATAATTTGTATGAGTTACTGCCTTTGTTCCTAAGAAATGTAAACACTCTAGAAGGCCCAATTCTTGGCAGATTTTAATGTAACTTGGTAGTACTATTCATCATTGCCTTAAAGTGTTCAAATGATGTGTATGTCTGAAGGTTGAGTATTTCATACTAGTAGCTGTTTCTGTACTATCAAATATTTTATTTAAAATCAAAGCTGCCAATGGGCGTAGTCTATATTACCTTGCCTGGCAAGCTATCTTTTTCTCTCGCATTTACCGCAAGGAAGACCCTTTTCCGAGGATCTGCTTTCCCAGTCACGGTATAATATTGCTTGTTTTGTAACCCGTCGCGTAAATACAATAGTCCCGGTAAACCATGCACTTAGGCCCATGTTTTAGGCTAAATGTGGGGGTCTGAACATTTCAAAGTCACTCCTAAGTGTCTAAAATCACTAATAACAGCAAATTTTACCCCAAATCTTTAGTGGACCCCTTTTTATTGTCTCATTTGAACCCACGGAAAACGCCTTACCGGGGTTTCTCTTCCCCGGTTGTAAGATTATTGCCTATTATCCGTCGCCAATTTATATTAATAGTCCCAGTAAGCCATAGCCTACATATTGTGGGGGTCAGAAATTTATATAAAAAGGCACATTTGACAAAAACACAACATTTTATATCCATATATAAATAAATTGAGAGCGAAAGCTACAAATAAGCATAAAATGAATTTAAATCAATTTTAAAAAAAAAAATCATCGTTTTTTAACCAAATGTTTCTTTGTAGCGGTTACGTACAAAGCTAATAGCTAATAAAACATTCGAAACGAAAATAATGAAATACAAACGGACAACCTCCAAACGGAAGTTAAGTTATTGGAGGGGACCATAGAGTTATATATAGAAACATTATAACTCTATGGAGGGGACTCATCTCATACCTGCCTAGATATTTTTACGGAGTTTCTCACTTAAGTTTGAGTATATTGATATAGATATAGATGTATAAAAACTAAAATACATAAAACATCTTTGGAAGTCTGGAAGTCAACTTTTTTAAGGACATACCTGTGTAGGCCTAGTCCTAATTGAAACATGACAAATTATCCTGTTTTGAAATCTCTCGAAAAATATGATAATAATGCCAGTGTAGTGCATGCTCGCACTGATGATGCATTTATGACAATAGATTCAACAACTGAGTATGAAAAGTTCTTTGAGATGTTCTTGCTGTTAAATAGGCCATGTATTTTTACTAACTTTGTAACACAGAACTGGAATTGCAGGAAAGAGTGGGTTACCTCATCGGGACAACCTAACTATAAATTTCTAAAGCAGGCTTTTGGTAAGTAGTCTAGGCTGCTGCTGGAATTGATATTTTTCTTATATTATTTAATGAATATCTACAGATTACCAGTTTAAAATAATCTGTTACATAACATCAATTTGTTTTCTGTGGGATTTGCACCATTCAGTTATTAAGTTTGTTTCTTGTACTTTATATAGAGTGAATGTAGCTCTGAATGTTTGAGTATGTTATTGATCTAGAATTCTGAAAAGCCCAAAATGATCTATAATATGAAGTTTGTAACAAGCGGCATATATAATTTGTTTTTTTAGGTCATATCACAGTGCCTGTTGCAAACTGTGATCAAGAAGAATATTCAGCTCAACCAAAAGAAGAAATGAAGTTCACTGATTATATAGATTATTTAGTTGATTATAAAAATAATAGCTACCCAAACCATGGCAGATGTTTATATCTTAAAGATTGGCATTTTAGGGGGTAGATAAATTTGAATTAATGATCTGATACTGTTATTTTTTTCATCTCAACTAAGCCTACAATACAGTAGCAATATATTTGATATTTCTTGATTGTAAATGTAGATGATTTCTGTATGTAGAGTCCTAAACAGTAGCAAAAGCATTCAATTGCATAGGATTGTTAATAACAGTGGAACTGTGTTGCTCTTTTTCTTCCCATAGTAAATGAACTGTATGTGGTTATTGAGGACAATGATATAATTTAAACAGCTTTTGCATGGAATTTTAAGAGGAAGCACATGAACCTGGAACATCTAACTCGAAATTGGAATGGGTCAAATCGATGTCCAGTGTCCCTGATACACATCCAAAATATAGAAAACCTCTTTACAATACCTTTAACAATGGAAAAACTTCCCCCTATTATTGTATTTTAGAGATTGTCCAGAAAATAAAGCATATGAAACTCCTGTATATTTTAAATCAGATTGGTTAAATGAATACTGGGATGTTCGTGGAGGTACTGATCATGATGACTATAGATTTGTGTATATTGGACCAAAAGGTTCATGGCAAGTATTGTAATAGCATGTTTTGAAAGTTTATGCACACCTGAGTTTATATTGTTGCCTTATCGGATGTCCAATCTTCAACTTTTTGCACATTCATAACTCATTGGACTGTAATACTTTTTCTTAATTCTAATTTGGACATATTACTTTTATATAAATGCAACATGCAACAATCAATTCACTTGTAGTTGTTATCAGCAAAATCTGAGCAAAATCATGACTTGATTTGGCCATATTTTATTTGAAGGACACCTTTTCATGCTGATGTGTTCAGATCATACAGTTGGTCAGCCAATATATGTGGTCGCAAGAAATGGATCTTCTTTGCTCCAGGTATTTACATATATCATTTAATATCTTACATGAAAATCCTATCTTATAGCAATGTCTGTGCATAAGAAAATTCCAAAAATATTTATCATAGATTACACTATGATCCTTTCTGAATAGTCCGAAACCTTTATAAATCAGTTTTTGAGGAGTCTACAAGAAAATAACTTTTTGACCACATTATGAATATTTCCTTTATGAAGGATTTGATATTGCAGGTGAAGAAGAAAAATTAAGAGATAAATTTGGTAATCTAATCTATGATGTGACACAGCCTATAAATCATGAAAAATATAATCTGGCATCACAAATTCAGTCTAGATATGAAATAATACAAGAAGCTGGTGAAGTTATATTTGTGCCCAGCGGTTGGCATCATCAAGTTATTAATCTGGTAAAGCATATATGTTACATGTATATATTATATATATGACAGTTGCTTTCAACTCTCCAAAGTGTAAAAGAGTGAAAGTAGAACTTACTGAACTAGGTTGAAACACTAGAAGGTTAATCAACATCATGTAAAAATTCAATTACAAACAAGCCATACTGATGATGTTGTTTTATCTTGAACATGTACATAATAAGCTGTTGTTAACTGTTTTTGTAGGAAGATACAATTTCTATCAACCATAACTGGTTAAATGGTTGTTGTATAGAGAACTGCTGGAATTTTATTAAATCTTCGTTATTGGATGTAGAAAAGCAAATCTCAGATTGTCTTGATATGGAAAATTGGCATCAACATTGTCAGGTAAATTGACGTACTTTTGATATGATTTACTTTCTCTAATAGGCATATCCTATTAAAAGAAATCAAGGGGATTTTATAGCGGATTTATTTGTATTGGGGACACTTCTTGCTTCCATAATTCCTGTTTGACATCTGTGGTTACTGTAATTCCTGATGGAGTTGGAGTTAAGGTATGGAAATCGTAATGCTATAATAAAAATGTCCCTGATACACATAAAGAGCCTGAAAACTGCTTTTGAATCTCATCAAATGAATGTAATTCTGAGCCGCCTTGGTACCCTAGTATCTCTGTTTTTTTCTTTGTCTTTTTGTTTTTTTTTTGTTTCTAGATGATTTTAAAAGCCAGCAGTGGTATTGACTTTACTGAATTTTATATGTTTATGTCTACAATAGCTCATCATAGAATAGATGAATTAAATAAACTTTCATTGAATAATAACAGTTCTTTAAATGATTCGAAACAGAATTCTTTGTTTGATGCTAAATTAGATCTATGTGATAGATACACTATGAAAAAGCCTACTAATATACCAACTCGAGACATGGAAAATTGTTCTTTAAGTGACATCAAAAAGGTAGAAAGACTTTCAGCAGAATCCAATAATACAGAAAAATGTGATCATATTAATAAAGAAAATAAAGGCATAGGAGAGCTGGAGAAATGTGGTGTATGTGACAGTGGATCTTCTCTACTTCAACAATGTGATTTTCAACCTCCATTATGTGATATTAAATATCATTGGAGGTATATAAATGCACAGCATGCTCTATTTGATTTAAAGAAAGTGAAAGATATTGTATGTGATATGTTAGAACAGACAGTATTTACTATATTAGATCAAACTAGTTTTGACAGTGACCATCAAAAGGGCAATATATCAATAGATACTAAAATAAGTAAAGACAAGAATCTCTTTATATCCAAAACTGAGCAATTATTATGTGATATTGACTTCATAATACAGAAATTTACCTAAAAATATAGATATACATTATACAGTGTTTATTATTATTGTGGTTTGGCCCTAAGTATAACTGAATTTGTAAATGTCTGGCTAGTTTATGAGTAAGTTTTTCTGTTCCACAAATTCCATTAAAACTAGCATTTTATGACTTAGCTATCGTAAAGGCGCTAAAACATTATTATAAAACAAATACAGGAACTATTTGATGGCCAAATGGATTGATGCGATAATTGGTCCAGATAGACATAAACAAGCTAGAAATGCTCTTTACAATCCATTTCATGATTCATGTATTTCAAGAGATAATTTATGATTAAGGGGAGGCAAATCTTCTTGTCTTGTTGGGCTACTTGTTTAACTTCAGTCTAAATGAAGATTTTTCTGCTTGTTGACACATTCCTTTGTCAGACATTCTTTCCTCTGATGTTTTTGATGTTCAGATACAAAAATCCAGTGACAAAAGATTCAATCATTAAACCCAGACTTGGACTATCTTATGCCTTTGGCAGCTCATCCCAATGACAGAAAGTCTCTTTCGCCTATGCAAATGTAGGACAATAAAACTTTTTGATGCCACAAACCACTTGTTTGAGAATACTAATTTGTATCCTATTAATTTAAAGCTTTTTGAAAGCATCAAGAATTTGTTTTAAGGTAATTGAATATGTAAATAGTAAAATAACTATAGCTATGAAGTGTCGTTTTCACATTAGAAAGAAATTACTTGAAGAAAAGGTCAATAAAAGCTATTTCTGAAGCTAATTTGTTAATATTATTGAATTTCTGTGGAAATCAATAAAGCCATTTTAGGCACCAAAGTAAAGGTCATGACCTTTATGCTATTATTTAATCCTTTGTGTGTCAAAGTGTTAAAATAAGCCAAGAGATAGTAGTGCCGGGTAATATGTAGCTTGAAGACTAATCGATTATTGATTTTGACCAGACAGTGTGTATGAACTGTCAATAATTTCCACTGCACAAGCTTTCAGTATTCTGTTGATTTTGGTGTCAAGTTGAAGCCAGATGTGTCGGGTGTTAAGATTAAACAAATTCAATAAGTCAATAAGATCAGATTCTGTTTGTGTCAAAAGATTTCAAAGATTTTGTTTTCTATAGTTTTATTACCAAGGGTATGTGAGAAATGAGTCAATGGTGGTTATGGTTGATAAATTGGACATAATCGTCACTGTATAATTTTATGGAACTCAATCCAACTATCCTCAATCTTTTTAAAATAAACACCCGTCACCTGATTTGTCTACAATAAAATAAAATTGTCTGATTTGCGAAAGTACTAAAAGAAAAAATAATTGGATTAAAGATCATACAAGATTGATATCTAACCAACAAATTTCAAAGCAAACTTAAAGCATTGAGAGAAAATGGCCTACAAGCTGTCTGAGGATGGACAAATTGAATCAATTTTATCAATCAACCAAGATGAAAGAAAATATTAAAGTTAATGTCATGAGCCTTCAGTGGTAATCAGTTAAATTCAATCCCCTTTTCAATATTTCCCTAGAGGTATTGCTAACATGAACCATGCATGACAAATGTATAATTTTAACTTTTAAATCCGGCTTATGATTGGTTGATATGCCTGTATTAAATATAATAATGATAAAGCATATATCTGCCTCAAGTACCGGATTTGGATTACAAATTGCACAAATCAATATTATCGTTATAAATAAGGACAGTTTTTGCTGAATAAGAGGTGTCATTGAAAATATAATTGTACCTGGCATTTTTAAGAGGTTCAGCAAAATTATCTAGCCAACTATATCGAAGTATAATTGTACTAAACTTGGATCTTCGTACTATCTAATTCAAATTCAGTTTAAATTGCCTTAAACAACATAGTGCTTTGATAATACAATCCAAACAAATCTCCACAGAAACACGTAAATGATTGTTGATTTTAGTCTTTGAATGTTTGGTGTTAAAATGCAATACGCTATCAAGCCAATATTGTTATTTTACTCCATTATGCACATGGCTATAGTTTATATTGCCATATTAAAGAGAAAGGCTAATTTATTTTCTGATCAATGATTTGTTTCTCTAAAGTCTTGTAACAAGGAATCCGTCTCGACATCAAATGTAGAAGAATGTTGAAGTCATTCTGGCTGACATATCTCGTAATTAACTAGTTCTCCATTGGAAGTGCCTGAATGAACCGAAGAATTATATTAACATTGTATTGGTATTGGTATTTTTGTGCATCAGATTCTGTCAGCACACCTCTTAGATCATTAGATCATAGAAGATTGCTATTGCTAATTCGACGTGATATTATATGTAAGACAGTGATGAGAAAATAGTCTATCAGTCACAAAGTAAAGATTCCTGTAGAAACAAAGTGCCAGAAATGGCAGAAAAGGATTGAGAAAAAAAGTTATTTTAATTATTAATGATCATTGTTTAAAGGTCGTATACTTTTAGATTCCATTTTCATGAGTTTGTAGCATTTAGAATTTTTGACATTTCTTTCAATAAACCTTATCTTATTGGTATATCTGTTTCTACAATGTTATATTTGATGTTGGTCTTATCATAAAATGATTTTTTAATGAACACAACCTGTTATGCAGATGTTATTTTCAGTCTATCTGTTAACACCGTAATTTATTCTTCTTTGGTGTTTTATTTCCCTTTATACCACAATATAACCTGCTCTGGTTGGTACCAATGATTAGAAATAAAATTACATTGACAGTTGATTCTCAGTAATGTGAAAACTGTATATAAATAATTAAATTTTCTACCATATTCAGGTCAACACAAACCATCAGCTGATTTAAATATAGCTTCAATTTGGCAAATATCCATATCAATAATTTTCATAACATTTTCAGATTTTTATTCATCTCAATCCACCAATTCACCGACTCATCAAAAATAGAACGATCTGTCTCGTTCTGCTAGATTTATATGAATTGTAGCGTCAGTGGTTTCACTTGCTGTAATAATCTAACATAAAAAATCGTATAAAAAGGAACATGTTTTAAACGAACAATTAGCTGAAAAGCCATTACATCACGAATTATTGCTACAAGAATTGCACTTCGATCGATTTGAAGTGGCAACTTTCCCTAGAGGAACAACAACCTCCATATCCTCAAGACAAACTGCAGGTTTAAACTCAATTCTAAATGCTAATATCATCTACAGCTTAATTCTTCTGAGATATGATTACAAACTGAATAGCTCGTAATATACTCATAGGTGCATGCAGCATTATTACCGAAATATGAGTAGACCTACATAGTATATAATATTATATATATCTTTTTTGCAACATTTTACACCATTTTTGGTCATGGGCAATATATAAAGTAACAAGTATAATCACATGATACAATTTAACATCATCAAGTACAAATTGACAATACACATATATACAAACACAAAGGACGACCGCATGATAAATTGACAGTAACAAAATACAAAAAATAGTAATGTAACATGATTCAACATTATAAATGTTTTGGAACAGCTATGGTTTAGAAAAATATACATAGTCTACTACATAGCCACAGAAATAAGTTTGAAATCGAAATTTACATTAGGAATTAATTATATCATTGACTAACAGACATATAACATGTACACAAATATGTCACCCGATTCGCCTATTATTAGTTGATTCTTTCAAGAAGTTAATCGGGTGAATATGTGAACATAATGTAGAGGAATATAGTTGCATTTATAGATTGGAAATTTTATAACTCAACTATATTTACAAGAAAAATGGCAAGGTGTTTCAGAATATCTATATTTGTTGAATTCAATACAAAAAATAATTTTTCTCATTGGTTACATAGGTATAATGAGGGAAATGTTTCTTCCTCCAATTTGTCCCTCTCAGATTGGGTTTTTTTGCAAATAGTAAGATGATGCATTTCATCTATATATTACTAGTCAATAATAACCTGTTAGTGGCTTTAATAGTGTAAACATTAGTAATAGCTTCCAAACGGCTTATTATTGAGAACATCAGTGGCTTTATTAATAAGGATATCAGTAATTGCTTCCTAGTGGCCATATTATTGAGGACATCAGTAATAACCACCCACTGTTTTTTTTTATTGAAGGTATAAAAAATAATCTCCCATTGGCTTTGTTATTGAAGGTATTGGTAATAAACTCATAGTGGCTTTAGTATTGAAGACGTCAGTATAATAACCTCCTAGTGGTTTTATTATTGAGGGTATCAAAAATAACTCCTGGCTTTATCATTGAAGGCGTCAGTTATAACAATCTAGTGGCTTTAGTACTGAAGGTATCAGTGATAACCTTCTAATGACTTTAGTATTGAAGACGTCAGTAATAAACTACTAGTGGCTTTAATATTGAAGGTATCAGTAATAACCTCCTAATGGCTTTTGTATTGAAGACTTTGGTAACAACCTCCCAGTGGCTTTATCACTGGAGATATC